ATGGTCTACGACATCGTCCCAGAGTACTGTATATTAAATTACAAAGTAATCTTGCATCCATAAAACTGGAGGGAAAAAATAGCCTACAATATATCACTATTATCTGCGGTAGATGGGCCTGTGTCTTAATAGGCTCTTTACCGACATCCATAGAGATATTGGGTTATAAACGTGCCAAACATTTTTCGCAGCCTACGGCCCTACGGCATCGGCTTCTTGCAAACATAGGACCACTGAGTGTGAATATTTTAGCCATACTTTTAAAACTGAGATATAGCTCTTAACAGGCCAAGACTGTAGGTTTTATTGAAATGCTTGCCTTTATCTCAAAAGTTGCCCACACTCAAAGGAACCAACCATATTGGCTACAATTATCGCGCACATTCGTTCTTAACGTGGAGTGCAGTTTCCTGTGAAACGTACCATAAAAACAATTACAATCGGCATTTATCGCCTTCAGTTCATCTATTCCATACCCTATACCCAATGAACTAAAGACAAGACTATCGAAGCCTTTATGTTTCGAATGTGGGTGTAATAGAGTAGAAGTAATGAAGTTGTGTGTCGCACGTCGTTTGACTCCGATTTTTGACTCTTCTTGACTTCCAAAAATCATTTAAAATGTCGAAAAAGAAGGACATAAATCAATTAGTAGGAAATTTCATCAGCAAGATGTTTAGAAACTTAATCAACGCCAGAATCTCGACTAGAGTAGGCTCCCAGTTAGCCAAGAACGCAATTGGTGCCAGAATTAACGCCGCTAAGGTCGCACCAGGGGTTAGTTTCATGAGATTCAACTCCAGCAATTTCAAGTTGAACACTGATTCTTTTGTTCACAAGTACAAGGAAGAAGGTCCTAAGTTTATCAAGTTCACCGAAGAACACGAATGGGTTGCATTCCAAAGAGATGATAGCGTGTTCGTTGGTATTACCCAATATGCTAGTGAAGCATTAGGGGAAGCCACTTTTGTCGAATTACCGGAAGTTGGTGAAACCGTCGAAGTGGGTGAATCTATTGGTTCTGTTGAGTCGGTCAAGTCTGCATCCGAAATCTACTCACCAGTTGCCGGTGAAATCGTCGCTGTTAACGAAGAATTAGAATCAAGACCACAACTCATCAACGATGATCCTATGGGAAATGCTTGGATTGCTCAAATCAAATTGAACGAACCAGCCGAAGTGGTAGAAACTCAAGAATCGTTATTGAATGAAACTCAATACGAAGAATTATTGGACAGTAACTAATCTACACCGATGTTATTCTCTCGTACATATAATTAAATACACATCAAAACTATGAAAAATGAACTGCGATAGGTACAATAATCACAATCAACACAATAATAACCCCCAAAATGAGACACATTCTCATCTTCATATCTTTCCACCACATATCTTTTCTCACTCTGTTAGCACCTCTTCTGAACCCCTGGGCACTGATGGCCAAGTTATCGGTCTTGTTTTCGATCGAGTCTAACCTCTCGCCTCTTTCGGCTACCTTATTGATGTTGTCTCGCATGACACCCACCGTGTCATCGATTTGCTGCGCTAGTTAGTATTTCCTGTTCAGTAAACTCCTCTGATGGTCCCTGGTCCGATCCGTTGACCCCCATAGTCTTTTTGTGGGTCTGGTACATCGTCTGGGCCATCTGGCATCATGTGCTGAGCCCCTTTTTAATCTGGTTACTTACAGCTTGGATAGCTGCCGTTCTTGATGCAGACTGCTCTCCCGTTGTCTGATTGGGAATGTATGGGTCGTATGGTACAGATGATGACATTTCTATTCTCTGATATAAACTATTTAAATCTGGCCTTTCAGTCTTTATTGATCTCATTTATCCTCAAACATTCTCGATTATGTCCCTTTTCGGTGACACAAAACCACTTCCCATTCCTCTATTATTGTCTACTCCAAAGGGTTAATTTCATGTTATAACCCCTCGCTGGAACTTTCCTAGTTACTGGCTGGGGCCTGTTTTCACGTCTGTAGCCTGCTGACTGTCCATACATCCCATCTGGCTTGAAAGCATATTGTCTTGCCGGTACGGTCTCGCGACTATTGCAAGCGCACTATTAGAATTCCGCTAGTCCAACCTATGGCTAGTCACAAATGCATATGTAACTTGGACCGCATGTAGCCATCTATCTCCGATTAATCTTACTACTGGCAATGGTCTATTGCAATCCAGATAAAAAGCAACGCATAGTATGTGAACATGGCCCTAAGTACCGAGGTTCGATTCTCAGCTACGCAACCGGCACTATAGCCTAGTTGCAAGCCCAGCTATAAATAATCTAACTACAATATCTAGTCCCGTAAGCCTACAGTTATTTACAATACTGACTTGTACCACTATTGTACAACTATAGTAGTATATTTTCATATGTAAATCAAGTAATCGGATGAACAAGTACACGCGACGATGTGAACCAGTAACCAGTGACCAGAAACCAGTAACCAGTGACCAGTAACCAGTAACCAATAACCAATAACCAGTAACCAATAACCAGTAAACGAGACCAACCAACCATACAATCCTTCTTTAATACGACATTGACGATTTCATTACGACAGACGACAATCGCGTGTTCCGGGTAACACTTAAAAGTCGATCGACCAATTTTCGATTTTCATCAGTATCCTCACCCCTTTCAAAAAAAGTAGTTGAAATTTAACACTCTGTTTATTTCAGTCTTGTTTAATTAGGATATATATTAATATTAATTACAAATTATAATGGACGGTGGTATGTATGAAGCGATATGAGTCGATTGGAAATTCTGCGATGATTCAATTGATTGATTCGAACAAAAACGGGGATCGAATCGTGAGCGGCGGCTAATGGATCACGGTTGCTCAAGGGGCTCCTGAACGTCGAGAGTGGGCGGCAAGCACGCAGAGGACGTGATATATGTAGACAGACGTCGGGGAGACAGATCGACGTTTCAGAGAGCGCCAAAAGCGAAAGTGAAGTGATCGTGATAGCCGCCACGTCGGCAGTGATCCGTCGGGCGTGATCCGCAGCGGGTAGCGCCAATACAGACACACAAAGATGAGTACTAACACCTAACAGAAGAAGTTGCTGCTTTAGTTATTGATAACGGTTCAGGTATGTGTAAAGCCGGTTTCGCCGGTGATGACGCTCCTCGTGCTGTTTTCCCATCGATCGTTGGTAGACCAAGACACCAAGGTATCATGGTCGGTATGGGACAAAAGGACTCTTACGTTGGGGACGAAGCCCAATCCAAGAGAGGTATCTTGACCTTAAGATACCCAATTGAACACGGTATTGTCACCAACTGGGACGATATGGAAAAGATCTGGCATCACACCTTCTACAACGAATTGAGAGTTGCCCCAGAAGAACACCCAGTTTTGTTGACCGAAGCCCCAATGAACCCTAAATCTAACCGTGAAAAGATGACCCAAATCATGTTCGAAACCTTCAACGTTCCAGCTTTCTACGTTTCTATCCAGGCCGTCTTATCTTTATACTCGTCTGGTAGAACCACCGGTATCGTTTTAGATTCTGGTGATGGTGTTACCCACGTCGTTCCAATCTACGCTGGTTTCTCCTTACCTCACGGTATCTTAAGAATCGACTTAGCCGGTAGAGACTTGACCGACTACTTGATGAAGATCTTGTCTGAAAGAGGTTACACTTTCTCCACCACCGCTGAAAGAGAAATTGTCCGTGACATCAAAGAAAAATTATGTTATGTTGCCTTGGACTTTGAACAAGAAATGCAAACCTCCTCTCAATCCTCCGCCATCGAAAAGTCTTACGAATTACCTGATGGTCAAGTTATTACTATCGGTAACGAAAGATTTAGAGCTTCCGAAGCTTTGTTCCGTCCTGCTGACTTAGGTTTAGAAGCTGCTGGTATTGACCAAACCACTTACAACTCTATTATGAAGTGTGATGTCGATGTCAGAAAGGAATTATACGGTAACATTGTTATGTCTGGTGGTACTACCATGTTCCCAGGTATTGCTGAAAGAATGCAAAAGGAAATTACCGCCTTGGCTCCTTCCTCTATGAAGGTCAAGATCATTGCTCCTCCAGAAAGAAAGTACTCTGTCTGGATCGGTGGTTCTATCTTGGCTTCATTATCTACTTTCCAACAAATGTGGATCTCAAAACAAGAATATGATGAATCTGGACCTTCAATCGTTCATCATAAGTGTTTCTAATCGAATTAGGTTCATTGTCTATTAGATGCGGGATCAAATTCACCCGGTCATTTTTTTTATTAATTAACCTGCTCTAAAGAAATTTCGTAGTGAAGTTTTTTTGTACCTAATTAAAACAAAAAGATCGTTTGGATGAGTACTTTTGATTGTCTTTATTTAGAATTTTGTTTTATATATTTCTTTAAAAAACATTTATGTATTCTTGTTATCATATGTAAATCTATGTATATATGTATATTATTTTTAATATATGTATATATATATAAATGTATTCTAAATGTCAAGTTCTGGTGTTTTGCCCTTAAGCCTACCTAATACACAGCTCTTGGCGTATCTAACAATAACGTTGTCTTCATGAAGCATATCAAAACTTTCAGTGGCATCTTTACCTGCAAAGTTCAAAATAGATTGTTCTCCACCTGGGTGATCTTTCAAAAATGGTGTTAAATCTAATACAACATTTTTGACAATACACCAACAGTCTTCCTTCTTATTGTGCTTAGACACTTCTTCTACTGTAAATTCTTTTGAAGGAATTTGGAATGGTCCAGCATCATCCTTTTTGTCCTTTGAATTCTGTTGCTGCATTTGCGGTTCATGTTGTTTCGGGGTTTCTTGAATCTCTTGTTGCGACAGCTGTTCAACTGTAGAGGTGAGTCCTTGCTTCCCATCCAGCCAATCGATCGTAATCTGCTGAGGGTGATTTGGATCGATATGGAGACTGATTTGTTGTAATCTGCTAACTGGGCCACTTCCATTACTCTCTTTTGTTGCACTAATGGCCGCGCTGTTGGCAGCAGCTAATCTTTGTAAGAGGTGACCAGAAGCTTGGTCAGCAGCAACCCTACCATAAACAACACAAGCCAACAAAGAAGAACCTCCTAATCTGTTATGTCCGTGTATACCACCGGCTACTTCACCGCATGCATATAATCCACTAAATGGCTCATTATCATCATATAATACTTCAGTCTTATCGTTAATCTTAACACCTCCCATAGTAAAATGCAAGACTCTTGTGATAAACGAAACATGGTATTTACTATCGGTTGTAAATTCAAATGGAGTACTTGGAAAGTACTTCTTTCCAAACTCATCCTCCGTTTCACCAGAAGCAGCTTTATTGTACTTTTCGAATTGTTTGTCTAAGGTGTCTTTATCGCATCCAATTTCCTTTATCAATTCATCACCACTGATAGTTTTCATTAAGTTTCTTTGAGTATAATGTTTGATATGGAACAGCAAATTCTTTTCACTCTTTGTGCTTAATACCAATCTTAATGGACCATTACCAGCCTTGATTTGCTTCTCCATCTCACCACTCACATAATCTCTTGTTCCTAATTCATCCACAAACCTTTCACCCTTATTATTTAAAATAATACCACCTTCACCTCTCAAAGCTTCTGCCCCTAAGAATAAGAATCTTGGTGTGGTCTTACCAGCTATGACATCTTTGTCGTTTAAGTCAATTAACCCAGTTGGGTGAACCTGAACTTTATCCATATCGATGCCAATGCCCTTGTTTTTCATAACAATCTTTTGACCATCCCCTGTAGCATGGTTACCATTGGTGGATGGTAAATCAATGATATCTGGCCTGTATTTTCTCAACAAGGAGTTTTTGGTGAAATCTGCCGCATAACCACCGGTTGCCATAATAACGGGCCCCAATAACTCATGTTTCAGCTTGTCAGTCAAGTCCTTATATTTAACACCAACAATATTGAATTCGTTGTCATCCAGCTTAACTAAGTCAATAACCTGACACTTCTTCATAATCTTGACTCTATTTGGTTCACTTTCAGACAAGTTTTCTAAATGCTCCAAGAGCTTATAGGTGATCGCCATTCCTGGGAACTTTGCATCCTTTCCTCTATGTGTTCTAGGCTGTGAATGTCCTCCTAATCTCGATACAACGGATAAATCTAAATTAAATACTTCTTGCAACCAATGTACCGCATCTGCTGAATTATAGGTCAAAACCTTGATCAAATCAGGGTTCGCTCTATCTTTGGCCGTCTTCAAAGTGTCTTCATAAAATTGTTCAACAGAATCCTTAATAGACAAATTAACCTGTGTTCTTGTTAATGCTCCATTAATTCCTGATGTTGCTTTACCACTGTTTCCACTCAAAAACCCCTGCTTATCGAGCAAAATAACATTGGCTCCTCTTAAGTATGCTTGGTGAGCAGCGGATAAGCCTGCAAGCCCACCACCAACTATAATTACTGGATTTTCTGGAAAGGTAGACATTTCAATTCAATTGACTGTATTTTCTATTTATATAGATATATACGATATGTATGTATAATAGATAGAACCCCTTATAGACTGGTAAAAGTTCATTATTAATTTGCTTTTATAATTGGCTGCGTGAAAATGTGGGGTCACATGTGAATACAAAAGTCCGAAGTATTCTGAAATTTCAACTTATAGCTCGAGGAATGGTACATAAGTAAGGCTATTGTAGGGTCAATGGGAGATGTATTGGAAGGCGAATGTTACGTCATTGAATTCACTTTCATTCCGCAATAAAATATCTTCATTCTCATTTAATGCACTGTGGTTTAAATGATTCCATGTAGTAGAATCACCATAAAGCATAGCAGGAGATTTAATAAATTGGCCTGTATCAGGACGGCACCTTTTACAGCTATAGGTATCATGGGTATCACAAGCAGTGTTCGGTTGAAATTCAAATAATTGTCTTAAATTATCAGCACTGAATAATCGCTCAACATCTTCCTTCTCGTCAACCACACAACTCGACAACGACAACTTCATCGATTGTCTCTGGAAAATCTTTTCCTCGATGGTACCGGTTGAAATAAACCTGTAGATGAAACAGTCTTTCTTTTGGCCATCTCTCCATACTCTTGCTAGCGCCTGTTGATCGGATGCCGGGTTCCAATCGGGGTCAATCAAAATCAATCTGTTGGCTCCAATTAAATTGATCCCACATCCACCAGCCTTGGAAGAAAGTAGGAAGATAAACTCTGATCCTTCTGGATCATTAAATCTATCCACTAACTTTTGTCGCTTGTTAATGTTCATTGTACCGTCCAATCTAACGTTGCCGTATTTCTTATACCTGCACATTTTTTCAATCAAGTCTAATGTTTGGGTATAGTTCGAAATTAATACGATTTTATCGTTGGTTTCAGTTCTTATCTTGTGCAAAAATCTCTCTAACATCATAAACTTCCCACTAAACCAAGTTTGGATTTCTTTGGATCTATTACCATTTCCAATGGCAGGTACGTAGTCGTCAGGTATTAAACTTTCGCATCCATCCAAATCATCAGGCAAGTTCAATAAATCAGGATGATTACATAGTTTCTTCAACATACCAATTGCCTTCAAAGGTTGAGATCCAACCCCCTTTAACAATTTCTTAATTTCAGGTGATGTTACGAAATATTCATAGAGCTTCTTTTGCATCGGTGACAACTCAACAAATACAACATACTCATATTTAACAGGCAAATATTTGGAGAGAATGTCGTTTGTTCTTCTTATAATAAATTTGGAAACCATTTGCGATAATTCAGTCAACTTTTTATCACTCGCCTCTTTTTCTTTGTCAGTGGCATCAGCATCTCTTCCTCTCAAAATGGCACTTTCAAAGTTTTTACGGAAATCAATTCTTGTTCCTAAATATCCTGGATTGGCAAAATTCAATAAAGAAAAGTATTCAGATAAATCATTCTGAATCGGTGTACCTGACAATATAACTCTTCTCTCGCATCTTAATGAATTTAATGCTGTAAATGTTAAAGAGTCGCCATTTTTCAATCTATGACCTTCATCTGCCAACATAAGTCCCACTTCCGTACCTGCTAGTTTATCGACATTTCTTCTTAAAGTTTCATACGAAATAATCAATACTGGTCTTACAATATTTCTTCCAGTAGCCACGGACCACTGTTGTAATGCTTGTCCTAAATCTGAAGATTTTGTAGATTTACCGTCAACAGCTAATGGAGTTAAGACACCTTCCCCTAACCATTTTACTATTTCATTCGCCCAGTTTCTAACTAACGACGATGGACAAACTATTATACATTTTTCAATCGTCCGTTTACCCCGAGGACTTTGTTTTAATAAAGTCCACATTAATGCCAAACATTGTAATGTTTTACCCAATCCCATTTCGTCCGCCATTATACAACCTTTCGCTCTTGGATCAATTAAGCCGGCAGTACAACGGTACAAAAATTTGACACCTGCGATTTGATGGGGTCTTAATATCTTTGCTAACCTTGGGTCAATAACAACAGGAACATCGGGGTATTTAGCCAATGACTCCTCAGGGTTTTTACATATTCCCAATATTTCTGCTAACGATTTATGGGTTCTTTGCCTTTTAGCGGGCCTTTCTTCTATATTTTCTTTATTTTCTTCTAGTTCCTTTTCATTAGAATTCTCCTTGGGTTCTTCAATAGTAGGTATTACATCAACCGTAGGGTCATACAAAACGATAGCAAACTCACTAGTTGGATCATGCAAAGCCCTTGGTGGAAGTATGGTCTTACGTCTAGTTCCTAAGGGCGGTGGTGGTCCCTTATTATCAAACTGTGTCATTTTTTCGTTGTTCTTTGAAAAAGGAATAGTGAAAGACTTCCGAAACTTATTTTCGTTACTAGCCAAATTGTTTCCTTTCAACATCAGTCTTGGTAATAATGCTCCAAATCTCTTACTACCTCGAATCAAATTGCCTTCCTCATCCACGCCCATATCTACATCTCCATTCATATTATCCATATCGGAATAGTTAGTTACTTTGCTTCTTGCATTTCGTAAAGGTAATCTCTTAGTAGTATTGGAACTTCCTGCTCCTATTGTTTGCCCTCTGTTAGCAAATGGCACTCTAAATGGCCTGGATAATCTTACTGCTCCATCGGTAACCATTGCAGGTCGCTTTTCTTTTGGAACACCTGCCCCTGACCCTAATGGTGTAGTATACTCTGTTAATAGTTTTCTACCCATTTTATACTATCTTGAAAGTCACTATTATCAAAAGAACTTAATTACTAAGATCAATATAAAAACATAAACAACGCGCTGCACACTAAAGAAAATTAAAACCATCCTTCAGATGAGTAATGATAAGGAAAAAACTCAGGACCTAATTTGAATATACAAAATAGCATGGAGGAGATTTTGGCTAAAGCTGGTAGTCAAGCAGTTACGTTTGCAATTAGATCAGGTATTTCTTTGGCATCTGGATTTGCTATTAAAAGAGTAAGCAAGTTCTTAGATAAGATACCAGAAAACGAGAAGAGGAAAATCACTGTACTTAAGAACAAGATACAGACAAAAATAGATATCTTATCTATATCTATTGATTTAATAAAGTTAGCAAGTGCTAGAGGTAACACTTCGTTGGAAGCAACCAGTATTTATATTGATGAATTGACCAAAGAATTTGATGTATTCGATGAGACATTAGTGAAAATCACGAATGATCTCACGAATGTGAATGAAAAAGAATCCATAATGAGAGTTAATGTCTATATGAAAGAGTTGTTGGAAAAGATAGATGAAGCTATACCTTTGTTGAATTTGTCATTGAGCACTTGTGGGGTTAACTTAAACGGCAACTTACCTGATCATATTTCACCCGGAAGGTTATTACAAGCATCTGATTTAATAAACAAGTCAAATATCCAATTCAAACAAGAGCCTATACAAGTAGGGCCAAAATTTGATTTAGTGTTGTATTCAATTTTTTATAACCCTAGTAGGTTAAAATATATTGAGAAGAATGAACAAACAAGTGAATTGTCGAGTATATCTTGGAAAGAAGAGTTTGCAAGATGTCTGGGACGCATTATGAGAAATTTCGACAAAGAAAATGAATATACATATAGCTTAGAATTTGAAGAAGACTTTAACGATGGAAGATATCACGAAGACACGAAAGCACAAGTGAGAAAGTATAATATCAAACAATTGAGAAGGTTGTTCTTTAGTGCATCGGGGAAGCTACTTAGATTAGAAAGCAGGAGTTCTCCTGTTTTGATATTGAAGCTTATGGATGAGCAAGATAATGAGGAATGGATCGCATTAGGTGAAGTGAAATCCGGTGAATTTGACAGTGACGACGATGAAGAAGATGATGAAGATGATGATGAAGATGAATTCCATGATTCAAGGGACATTGCTGAAGAAGCTAAAAACACATCATTGTCGTTATTGGAGTACTTGGTACGGTTGAGTATTTTGCAGCAAAATGACCAAAAATCCATATTGGAAGTTCATGATGAAAGATTGTCATTATACTTAAGGGATGAAAATTCAAATTCAATTTATAATCCAATAGTCCCTGCAAGCAAAAGGCTGCAAATCAAACAAATATCTGATAATGAGAAAACCGAAGGCTTGCTTACTATGAACTCGAACATAAACAGGTTAGAGAATTTGAAAATTGATAAGTAATCATATGTATTTTACAGATTATATATGAGATAATAATAATATACTCATAATTGCCGTCATAATTGGCAGATAAATTTATAAAACAAGGTCGTAATTGTGGAAACTCTTATTTGTCAGTTTTGGAATTGTTATAATTCATAGGTAGCATTAGCTCCGTAAACATTGGATGAAGTTCAAGATCCATAGTCAGTTGATACTGACTACTCTTTTTATCCAATTGCGGATTTGTTTGAGGTATTTCTCTTTTTTCTTCTTGACTTAATGACTTGATGAACAGTCCATACTCGTCATCAAATAAACTATTCGAGGTGATATCATTACTGTCACCAGGGAATTCGAAGCCATTTGGCGGATATGCAGATGTTGGTTGAATATTCAGGTAATTCAAGTTTTCCATATTGACGTTCGGTCTACTTCCTGATGAAGAATTTGACGTAATTGAAAGGGAACTTTCTGGTCTCTTAGGTCGTATAGGTTGATAATGAGATATTCCATTATTTCCATTATCATTATCATTGACTAATTGTCCTGATAAATTCAGAGATGGATCGAGTTTGGCTCTGATATGATCAGGTATAGGAGACATCGGCTGGTCTTTACTTGTGCTGAAACTAGAATTACCGACCAAAGGGAATAAAGGAAACATATTATCCGCCAAGTCGGACCTTGGGGACACTTTATTGGCATTTTCCTTAATAGCAGCATCCGTGTTCGTATTCGTGTTGGTGGTGGTTTTGGTGTGCATCGACGAATCTCCTGGGAAAGCAGACGATTGTAATTCTACGGATCTAGACTTAGTGATGAATTTCGGCACATGAGAATTAGCACCATTATTAACTCCACTACTTGTGCCAGGAACCAGGGTCGCCGAAAAGCTATCTGATGACGGCGAAAACATGTCAAACAACCCATTTCCCATCTCAAACGGCCTTTCCGCATCCATTCCGCTTCCGCTGGGAGGCTCATAAGCCACCCCCGAGTCGCCCACGGCATCTTTATCCTTCCGTATGCTCAATTCTGACATGCTTTTTTGTAACTTCTTCTTGGTATCACTCTTCTTAGATGCATTACTCGAACAGGTGCAATGCGAATTCTTATGGCACTGGCACAGAGCAAGATGCATCCCAGGAGATTTCCCCTTCTTCCCACACGTACACACCGTATGCAAGTTCTTGTTCTTTCTCTGTTCCCTGCAATGCTGACATTGTGTCGCAGGTCTTCCCTTGGGTTTGATCATCGTCAATGGTTGATCGGTGTGAGTACATGTTGTGACCCTATGGCCTCTTATACAACGCTCGCAGGCATATTTGACTCCATTAATAAGAACCATGGCCAGAATCTTCCTCTCTGCGATATAAGCGCCTTTCTTGTTTATATTTGAGCTAACACCCCGATTTATGGCTCTGTCAAGTGGGTCTTATTAATGATTTTTGGCCATAATTAATTCTACACTAATGCTCTGTCGTGCGAAAACCAAATAATTATACTCGCGACATTCTGACCATCGAGACATTGTCGCGTATAATGTCGTGTCGTTCTGTCTCGCAACCTCCCCCCCTCAAGACTCATAGCATGTGAGTTCTTAGTTACTATAGTCCATCATATGATGTGTTCTTAGGGTAAATGTGGCCCTATTCTTGTAACACAGTAAAGAAACTCCCGTTCCTATTTCTCCAGCATCAAAAAAAAAAACTCATGGTCCTAAAGTCCCTTATCGCGTAGTCTATTACCCTATATGAATTACTTACTCCCTTTTACTCTTAGTACAATTATTTGCATCTAATTGGGCCAATTGAAATTATGTCGACTTCTCGCCAAAATTAAGTGACTACTTTCAAAACTTCTACAATATTATATTCCTACTCGCTCTTAGGTTTAGCTGTCATTACTGATATCTATAAAATACGTTCTATCTGAAAGAAGTTGACCCATTATAAATCTTTCGTCTCTCATTAGCTGGATATAACAAGAACAATACTGCTTGGGGTATGTTGTTATATGCAGTACGCTGGGACCAGGATTCGTTGCAATCTTGGGGAACTGGAATTTCCATGGATAGAAAAGAATCTGAAAAGGGACTAATAATAGACGCTAGAGACGGTATTAGACGGTAAAAATGATTGACTACGAAGAGGTTAAGAAACACAATACTAAGGAGGATTGCTGGGTTATAATCCACAATAAGGTGTACGATGTTAGCGATTTTGTTGATGAACATCCAGGGGGGTCAGCTATTATCTTAAAGTACGCAGGAAAGAATGCTACGAAGGCGTTTGATCCAATTCATCCGCCAGATACTTTAACCAAATATTTGGCACCAAAGTATCATTTGGGAGAGGTGAGCAAGCCGCCACCGGGTAAGAAGAAGGTTAAAGCTTCACCCCCGGCACAGGCTTCGGAGCAGGCGCAATCTCTGGCTGCAGCTTCGGAGGGTAAGCAAGTCGTAGACGAGTTTGATGTTGAATATGACGAACAGGATGACAAGGCGCCGATCCCTGTTCTGCAAAGTGTTCAGCAAAACTTGCAGCAAGCTGACGAAACGGGAGAAGAGGACGAGTACGATGATGACGATGATGAACCACCCACTGAAGAGGAGTTGAATAGACGCCAAATGGTCAAGAGAAAGCCAGATCTTGGACAGATATACAACTTGAATGACTTTGAATTCGTTGCCAGACACACAATGGAAAAAGTTGCGTGGGGTTACTATTCGTCCGGAAGTGACGATGAAATCACCCTTAGAGATAATCACTTGTCGTACCAGCGTATTCTCTTCAAGCCTAGGATTATGGTGGATGTTACTAACATCGATCTTTCGACCACAATGCTTGGCACAAAGACTTCTGTTCCATTTTACATTACTGCAACTGCATTGGGAAAGCTTGGTCACAAGGATGGGGAAAAGGTTCTTACAAGATCGGCTGCCAAACAGGATGTCATTCAGATGATTCCTACATTAGCATCTTGCTCATTTGATGAGATTGTAGATGAGGCGACAGACAAGCAAACCCAGTGGCTTCAGTTATACGTCAATTCTGACCGTGAAATCTGTCAGGGCATCGTCCAGCATGCAGAGAAACGAGGCATCAAGGGGTTATTTATTACAGTAGATGCACCACAATTAGGTAGAAGAGAAAAGGATATGAGACTGAAAAATGTGGAAGATTTGAGTCATGTTCAAGGTGAAGGTGACGACGCCGACCGGTCCCAGGGGGCTGCAAGAGCCATTTCATCCTTCATTGATACAGGTCTTAACTGGAAGGATATCAAATGGTTCAGGTCGATCACAAAGATGCCAATTATTTTGAAGGGTGTACAAACAGTCGAGGATTCTTTGTTAGCCGTCGAGCACGGTGTCGACGGTATCGTCTTATCAAACCACGGTGGTAGACAATTGGAATACTCCAAGCCCCCTATCGAATTATTAGCAGAATTGATGCCTATCTTGAGGAAACGTAACTTGCACAATAAGATGGAGGTTTACACCGACGGTGGTGTTCGTAGAGCCTCGGATATCTTGAAAGCCATTTGTCTTGGGGCCAAGGGTGTGGGTATTGGTAGACCCTTCCTCTACGCAATGTCTACATACGGAGATGAAGGTGTCGTGAAGGCTATCCAAATCTTGAAAGACGAAATGATCATGAACATGAGATTATTAGGAACTACTACAATAGATCAATTAAACGAGAATTACGTCGACACGAGAACTATTTCAAGATACGTTCCTGAAGATAAGTTATTTGGCAAGGTCTACGAGCCTTTGGTCTCTCCATCATTCAAAGATTCTAAGCTTTAGATATTTATATATGGATATTTGTTCTAGCATAGATTACATTCTACAATTTCAATACTGTATTTACGTCCGGTATATAATTTTTTATTCCCGAACGCGTTTCGTTGTTCAAATCAACGACAATAATTGACTTCAAAAGACTAAACACTTCTAAAACATATTGAATTAATTCATAAATTAACACTCTTCAGATCCATCAGGCGTATTCGAATACATACAATCACATTGATATCTGATTGAAACTTGGATTTATTTAATATTTTAATACCCATTCTACGCTGAATCGTTACGAGTGTTTTTTTTTTGAGTAGTAACAAATTTTTTTTAGTTTGTTGATTTATTCTAATTTCTTCTGTTGAATTCATCTCATAGGTGCAGATTAGCTTCTGTTATATCAGCGGAATATTTTTTATTTAAAAGCATAACATATTGAAACGTCAAACAAAAAATGGTTTTGTCATATGATGTTGGTACCCGTTGTTGGTATCCTGACGAAAAGCTCGGGTGGATAGGAGCTTCAGTTACGTCTAATAAGAAGAAGGATAATAATAAATATGTATTGGAATTAGTTTCGGACACTGATGAGTCTCAGACTTTCACTATAGAAACGGATGATTTAAATGACGATAATGACAAATTACCACCATTACGAAACCCACCTATTTTGGAAGCGGCCGAAGATTTGACCAGTTTGTCTTATTTGAATGAGCCAGCTGTTTTGCATGCCATCAAGCTTCGTTACTCGCAATTGAATATTTATACCTATTCTGGAATAGTCTTGATTGCGACAAACCCTTTTCAAAGAGTTGATCAGTTGTATTCGCAAGATATTATTCAAGCCTATGCGGGTAAAACAAGAGGTGAGTTAGATCCCCATTTGTTTGCAATTGCCGAAGATGCTTATAGATGCATGAAGATTGACGGTAAGAACCAAACCATTGTGGTAAGTGGTGAATCAGGTGCTGGTAAAACGGTTAGTGCAAAGTATATTATGAGGTACTTTGCCTCTGTCGAGGAAGATTCTGAATTAGTTTCAAATATTGGTACTGAACATAAATCTGATATGTCTGATGTCGAAAAGCAAATTTTAGCTACTAATCCAATTATGGAAGCATTCGGTAATGCTAAAACAACTAGAAATGATAATTCTTCAAGATTCGGTAAATATTTAGAAATTTTATTCGACAACACAACATCCATCATTGGTGCTAGGATTAGGACATATTTATTAGAAAGATCAAGATTGGTCTTTCAACCTAAGAGTGAAAGAAATTACCATATTTTTTATCAAATATTAGCCGGTATGAAAGATGACGATAAGGCCACTTTAGGTTTAACTAGCGCTGAAGATTATAAGTATACCAATCAAGGTGGCTTTCCTCGTATTGATGGAGTAGATGATGCCGAAGAGTTCCACATTACTAAAGATGCTTTATCATTGATTGGGGTTGGAGAAGAAAAGCAAATGGAAATTTATAAGATTTTAGCAGCCTTATTACATATTGGTAATATTGAAATTAGTGCTACTAGAAACGATGCTCATTTATCATCAGATGAACCAAATTTAGTTAAGGCATGTGAATTATTAGGAATCGATCCTATGAACTTCAGTAAATGGTGTGTTAAAAAGCAGATTACTACAAGATCAGAAAAGATTGTGAGTAACTTAAACCACAACCAAGCAATCGTGGCTAGAGATTCATTTGCTAAATATATTTATTCCGCATTGTTTGATTGGTTAGTCAATTACGTGAATACTGATTTATGTCCACCGGAAGTAAGTGAGAAAATTAAATCATTCATCGGTGTTTTAGATATCTACGGGTTTGAACATTTTGAGAAGAATTCGTTTGAACAATTCTGTATTAATTATGCCAATGAAAAATTGCAACAAGAATTTAATCAGCACGTTTTTAAGCTTGAGCAAGAAGAATATGTGAAAGAAGAAATTGAATGGTCATTCATTGATTTTGCAGACAATCAGCCATGTATTAATTTGATCGAAAATAAGTTAGGTATCTTATCTTTATTGGATGAAGAATCAAGATTACCTGCGGGTAATGATCAATCATGGATTGAAAAAATGTACCAAACACTCGATAAAGAACCTACTAATAAAGTTTTCAAAAAACCAAGATTTGGTCAAACCAAATTCATTGTCAGCCACTATGCTCTTGACGTTCAATATGATATTGATGGTTTCATTGAAAAGAATAGAGACACAGTTGGTGAAGGTCATTTGGATGTCATGAAGCAATCTTCTAATGAGATGTTACAATCTGTTCTTGAAATTATAGATAAGAACGCGAAGGCTTTAGAAGCTGCAAAGCCTGAAACTAACTCTAGAGTTAGATCTGTTGCAAGCAAAAAGCCAACTTTGGGTTCTATGTTCAAAAACTCTTTAATTGAATTAATGAAGACTATTGATTCAACTAATGTCCATTATATCAGATGTATTAAGCCAAACGAAGAGAAGAAAGCTTGGGAATTTGACTCATTAATGGTCTTATCTCAGTTGCGGGCTTGTGGTGTTTTAGAAACTATTAGAATTTCATGTGCTGGATTCCCTTCAAGATGGCCATACGTTGAATTCGCCGATAGATATCATATTTTAGTTCCTTCAAGTTTATGGATGGAAGTGATGAGTGGTGAAACAACACAGGAATCTGTCAGTGATTTATGTAATAAAATATTAGACACAAATATGGAAGATAAGAGTAAGTATCAATTGGGTAACACTAAAATTTTCTTCAAAGCTGGTATGTTAGCACATTTTGAAAAATTGAGATCTGATAAGTTATATCAATCAGCAGTTATGATCCAAAAGAATTTAAGGAGACGTTATCATCAAAACAACTATTCAAATATTAGACAATCACATATTAGTTTACAAGCTTTGGTACGTGGACATACAAAGAGATTGCAAATCAAGAAAGAAACTGAAGATAAAGCAGCCACTAAGATCCAAACTGCTATTAGAGGATTTAGGGCTAGAAAGCAATTAAAAGACACCCTCGCATCTATAATAGTATTACAGAAATCTATCAGAGGTTTACAAGGAAGAAGGAACTTCAAACGTGCAAGAACTGAAAGGTCAGCTATCACCTTGCAGAATGCTTGGAGAGGTCATACTGCTAGACGCGATTATAAGAAGACTATGAAGGCGGTAGTCTTACTCCAATCCTGTTTCAGAAGGAAATTGGCTATTGGTGAATTGAAGGAATTGAAGGTCAATGCTAAATCAGTCAATCACTTGAAAGAGGTGTCTTATAAGTTAGAAAACAAGGTTATTGAATTAACTCAATCTTTAACTTCCAAAATTCAAGACAATAAGAAATTGGTCAATGAAATTGCAGGGTTGAAGGTCTTGTTAGACCAATCAAGTAACGTACATGAAACCTTGAAAACTAGAGAACTTGAATTCAATGAAAAGTTTGACTCTCAAAATGTTGGACATCAACAGGAGATCGAAAACTTGAATAAGGAACTAGAATCTATTAAATCTGAATATACTTCAGCCGAACAAAAGATAGAACAATTAACAAAAGAACAAGCTGATTTAAGGCAAGAAGTACACCGCAATATTGAAGAGTTGAATCAAGCTAAGGATGCTCTTGTTAAACGTGATACAATTGAAGTTGACTTAAAATCTCATATTGAGCAATTGAAATCTGAAATCGCAAACTTGCAATCTCAACAACAGAAGGGCGTTATTTCTAATCCAAAATCAAGAAATGTCAGTAACAAACGTCATAGTAGTGCTTTAGCTTGGAACTCTCCAGCATCATTAGATCAGAATGGCAATAGACCTGTATCTGTAATTGCTGTATCAAATGATGAAGACGCTAATGTTGATGATATCAATGACGAATTGTTTAGATTATTAAGAGACTCAAGACAATTACATAGAGAAATCGTTGAAGGGTTATTAAAGGGTTTGAAAATTCCACCTGCTGGAGTTGCAGCCGATTTAACCAGAAAAGAAGTCTTATTCCCTGCGAGAATTATAATTATTATATTGTCTGATATGTGGAGACTTGGCTTAACTAAGGAAAGTGAAGAATTTTTAGGTGAAGTTTTGGCAGCTATCCAACAAATTGTATCGACCTTAAAGGATGATGAAGTCATTTCAAATGGCGCCTTTTGGTTATCAAACACGCATGAATTATATTCATTTGTTTCTTATGCTCAGCAGACAATTATTGCAAATGATACATTGTCTCATGAAATGAGCGAAGAAGAATTCGACGAATACTTGAAATTAGTAGCAGTCGTGAAAGAAGATTTTGAGTCACTTTCATATAACATTTACAATATGTGGATGAAAAAAATGGAAAAAGATTTAGAAAAGAAAGCAGTCTCTGCTGTGGTCTTATCTCAGTCTTTGCCAGGATTTATGGCACCAGAAAATTCTCCATTTTTGGCAAAGGTCTTCTCCCCAGGTGTGCAATATAAAATGGATGATATATTAAGCTTTTTCAATTCAGTATATTGGTCTATGAAGTCGTACTTCATTGAATATGAAGTTATGAATGAAGTCATAATCGAATTATTGAGGTTCGTTGATGCCTTATGTTTTAACGATTTGATCATGAGACGTAACTTCTTGTCTTGGAAGAGAGGTTTGCAATTAAATTATAATGTGACGAGATTAGAAGAATGGTGCAAGGGACATGAAATCCAAGAAGGTTCTGGATATTTAAATCACTTATTACAGGCAGCAAAATTGTTGCAATTACGTAAAAATACCCCCGATGATATTGAAATTATCTATGAAATCTGTTACGCCTTGAAACCAATCCAAATTCAAAAATTGATCTCGCAATACTATGTCGCCGATTATGAAACTCCTATAGCACCAAATGTTTTGCAGGCAGTTGCAGATAGAGTTAAAGCTAATGATGGTACAAATAATGACGATTTGTTCGAATTAGTGTCTACTGATGGACATTTCAATGATCCATTCAGGTCAGTAAACTTGAGACCATTTTCCAGAGTCGAAGCATACGTACCAGCATGGTTAAGCTTACCAGTAATAAGAAGAATTGTCGAATTAGTAGCTAAGAATGCTTCTGTCCAAGAATCAAGTAATCTCGATGAGAAGGAAGAAGAAATGAACGGATTTGAAAATGAAGTTCCTACAACAACCCAAGTGTAGTGTATAAAGTAGTTTTTATGTTGATGTGATATTAATATACAATGTTTATTATATAAATTATAGTGGTCAAGGGTATTATTTATTAGCTAGTTTATTGATTTCTTCTACGGTCTTCGTTTTCATCGTTAATGCATGAAGGCCTTTAGTTTTGAATTCATCATCCAAAATTTGATACACAATTCTATGTCTGGATGGCATGGACTTGCCAATAAATTCATCGCTTACAATTTCCATGGTGAAATGAGATTCTTTTTTATTGGTGGCGTTTCTTACACCCGCATGGTGGGCATGTTTAGCTGAATCATTAGAAACTTTCAATAAAGATGGCTTCAAGTTTTCAACAATCTTAGTTATCATCACACGTTCGATTGGACCATCGACCTCGGAAGGATATATTTGTCTCTTAATACTCGTTGACATAGCACGATTTAAACTTATATATTGCTTAAATACTGTATTTATAGAGCCTTTATACATTAGATCTATAATTGTGTCTTGAATGTGGTTTTTCAATTTTTTAATTTTTATCATTAGCTCGCATTTTATAGGTGCTTGACAGTATGATAAAATACGATGCAAGCTAACTACGATATTTTTTGATATTCATCCTTTGAATGGCAGTTGAATTGTCGTAGATAGTGCTTCTATATACATAAATAGATATATAGATAGTGGATTAATACAGGCGTTAATTAGATTCCACTAAAAGGGAGCTCTCCGAAAATTAACGAACATTTCTAACCACCTTGTTTTTGTTGGCTTCTCTTTTAGCTTGTCTCTTACTCTTTTGAGGAACTTCTTGTTCTTCTGGCTTTTTTTCGGCTTTGCTGCTTCCCTTGAAACCCTTAACTAAACCTACAACTTTGAAAATAGCAAAGCCTGGAATAATAGCGTACAACCACCACACTTTATTGGTACCCAATACAATCATCAATGCATCAATAATCCATGTAATATACATAGTATCAAACATGTATTCGTACAACCCTTCATGCTTAACATCTTCGCCAGCCTTGATCAATTTTCTTTGACCTGATAATTTATCTTCAGCATATACTGGTCTTGCTGATTGTTCTATAATAAACTGACATAAGAAAGCAGGACAAGAAAATATCAGGTATGGAATCAATGATTTTGGTCTTTTGAAAACCACCAATATCGCTATTACAATTAAATTTAATACCACTGCAATTAAATGGGTTTGATTAAGTATTTCAGTATTGGCAGCCGCTAACTTTTTAATACTTTGTGAAGCCATTTTTGTAAATATTCACTTATTAAATTTGTCCTGATTATAAGAATGATTTCTATTCAATGCCGTAGAATATATTTAAGGACTCAATAGTAGTTAACAAATTCACATATTATTTCTCAAGAAAAAAAATTTAAACGAGCATTCATATTCTAACCAAAATTGAAGGCACAAACTCGCCAGAACAGTCATGAAATTAACTCGAATATCAGTGACGAAGAGTATTGGAAGGGTCTCTATATCTTGTAAGTTGCATGGATCTAATTTATAAAATTTGAAATAAGTAACTTCTTAAAATTATTACAGAAATTTAGGTTTTTTGTACATATTAGCACATTTGCTGCAAAATCATGTAATCGAGTGTGGTAAAGGTAACCCAGAATGGCATTCCTATAAAACATTTGGCAATATGATGAGCACTGTGAACCTACACTCAGTTTAAGCAATTATTTATATTATAAATTAAGTTTATAAAATCATCGAAGTGATTAATCATACATACTAAATAAATAGTCAAAGGTGAAATTGTAAGTACTTAATTGGATTTCTTCGTTGAAGCAATGGCTGGCAATTGAATTGGATCAGTAAGCTTTTGTATTAAGCCCTTCAATCTTATGTTGTAGTACTCGTTTAGCGAAGCAGGCAATTTACCACTTAAAAGAACTTGATTGATTTTCATATCCCATTGGCTCACAATTTCTTGAGTGTATCTGTTTGAGATATATCTCAATTTTAAGAATACAACTATTGCTGCGAATACCGAGGTGTTCACGATAACGAAGAGTGGAATCCTAAAGATTTGCACAAACATGAGTGGAATGGTAAAAATAAACCCACTGAGTAACAAAAATTCGGCATTAGCAGCCATTAACAATGCCTGCTGATTGTAAGTCGTAGTGAAGTGGTTGATTTTCGCATTCAAGTTCTCTTGCTGTACTTTATTGAATGGCATTGATCCCAATAAGTTAGTCTGAAAGTACGTCAACACATGGAAAACCGAGAAAATGGTAAAAGAATATAACCCACCAGCAACACCACCAATCGTTCCACTGCTCAAGAGAAATACTAATGCAAGCAAAAAGTATTGAACATTATCGTCTCTGATCATCCTGGCCCTCAAGTCCCGATCACGCACCACCTGACCAAGACCAGTTTTCTTGAAATGAATCTGTTTGATTACTATTCCATACGTAAACAACACCGCAACCAATGCACAGTTATAGAACTTGGCTGTCCGGCTAAAAAAAGAGCTGATCATGTTCAAAATGAAGAAAATAATCTCCAATGCATGTCCCACGAACCAGTAGAATTGCTTCGACAGTGCTAACGTTGCAATTGTTTGTCCAAATGACTTGGTCTGTACTTTATTTTGTTTTTCTGCCATTACGTTAAAGAGCCCCCGATCTAGTCTATATTATTGCAATCCTTTAGGCGTATTCTTCCTCTACATTTCATCCTATTGTTAATATGGTGGGTTTTTCACCGCAATCAAAGATAACCATATTTTACAGGTTACGTAAACATTGCCATTGAAAGTTTTACAGGTTGATCCACGACTACAAAAGGGTCATGAAACGAAGGATTCGGGTGTTCTTAAATGCTTGCCAGTAGTATAAAAACCCAGTATTTCTAGTCAATTAGCAGAGATAAACACTAAAAACCACCTATCATGGATTTCTGCTTCTTTCTCATCGGGTGTATGTCCAAAATGAACTTCAAACCCTCGAATTTGGGATGAACTTGCAACTTTACAATACTAACAGCAAACTCTAGTCAAAGAATTCAACAAGCCATTACCGGACATTGGCAATATTAGCTGTTACTGTGGAAATTGCCATAATCAATCGGCAAATGCTATTAGAACCATCAATTGTGTAACCTTATTTTTTATTCCAGTGTTACCGTTCTACTATTCGAAACGGCTAAAATGCTCTATTTGTGGTGCGTCGGGAGATATGGATAAGGCCACCATGAAAAAAATGAAACAGGGTCAGGCGGTTGCTATCGGATAGATGTTGCATGGTTTGCTGTAGCTTAGGATGGTTTAGCTTTTCTCTGGTTAGGAAATTGTTACTCTATTTATTTATTATACACGAATATACATGAAAACGTCGTTTAATCATACTATTGGCATATTAACGCTTATTATATATTCTCCAATAAAAAGTTTAAAGTTCGGCCAGCCCAACCTTAAATATAGGTCAGTCTAATGTTTACGAAAGTAGTAATCTAGATCATGAACCAATGGTTCTGCTTGAACCTACTTAATACTATCCGTTTATGACCACCATGTTACCATACCAGGAAGTGCTTATTAATATTCTAATAACCTTATATGATTTCATGACCAGGTATTCGGGTTGATCAATATCATTATGGGCCGTATTGCTTGAGGTTCCAGGAAATATAAATAATACGCATATCGGCATTTGCCAAGTAGTGGGCCATTTTCATTAGTTTCTAATACGTGCAAGATGATTTCAATCGACAATTTACAACCTCGTGGCGGTAATCAAGCTGTATCGGTTAATAGACCGAACCTAACTACGGATATTCACTTGACCAGCCATGGTTCCAGTTGGTTATGGGCTGTTTTCTCAATTTTCGCAACTTTGGCAGTGATTCATGCATTCTTCTTTAGTTTTACTAGCTCTAGAACCCACAGGCTTAAGAAGATATTATTTATTGTGCCATTATTTACTAATGCAATAATGGCATATTGTTACTTTACGTATGCTGCAAACTTGGGTTGGACTTCGACAAGAGTTGAATTCAACCATGTGCTGACAATCAGGAATCTCGGTGTGAGACAAGTATTTTATGTCAAATATATCGGATGGTTTTTGGCATGGCCTTTTGTTTTGTTTGCCATGGAAGTAGCTACTCATACATTGGAGTCAACAAATCTTGAAAATGGTGGTGAGACTATTACTGGCATTCTTTCGTTGCTTTCGGGGTTGATCGTTAAAACTTTCGCTACTGAAATTTACGTGTTGGGCTTATTGATTGGTATCTTAATTCCTTCGAGCTATAGATGGGGTTATTTTACATTTGCAGTATCTGCCCAATTGTTCGCCATGTCTTTGGTATTGGTTTCGATGTTTGCGGCTATGAAGTCTGTTAACACTAACAAGGTTGCAATCATGTTTATTGCGTTCGAATTAGTAGTATGGATCTTGTATCCAGTATGCTGGGGTCTCAGTGAAGGCGGTAATCGTATCCAGCCAGACTCTGAAGCAGTATTCTATGGTATACTTGATTTGATAACGTTTTCCTTTGTGCCTATAATATTAACTTGGATTAACGCCTCCGGAGTGGACGAAGATTTCTTCCATAAGGCAATGCACTTCAATTTACGTAGGAACTCAAGACACGAGAAGCCAGTAGAGGAAACACCAAGACACAGTGGTGATACTGCGGTTCCTCCTTCTAATTATGATCGGCCAGAGGTTGAGAATGACGTAGCTCCAGCAACTCGTCCTATGGAAGAAGAACAAGTTTGAGAATACTCGACGGCGGTACAGCAGTTGCGGCTGCATGTGGAATCTAGTTTAATTCAATTTTGCTTGATAATTTTATTGGTCTTATAATCTACCTGAACAATAACACCTAATACCTAATAATTAATACTAAATAATTTATATATCGTAATATGTCCACAATATATCTAACGTGATTATGCTAAGTTTTATATGTGACAAGAATGAGCGTCTAATAATGAAAAGCAATCGATTTGACTTCGAATTAAAATATGTTTTAAACCAAAAATACATTGTCTAGAAATTAATTATCCTCATAGTTGCATAACCAATCGTAACAGTAATAAAATAAACGATTACTGAACTTGGAACACCTCTTGAGATAAATGTACCAACAGTCAAATAAGGCTTACCAAATTCATCTGTCATGCAAATGGCAGTAACATTAGGAAATCCTGACGTAGGTAAACCCATGGCTGCGGAACATAATAAAGCACTTGCCATAATTAATAACCTTGGATGTGGCTCGGGTAAGTCATTACCTATTTCTGAAACTAAAGGAATTATAATTAACGCAGCCACTGTATGAGAAACAAAAGTAGCCATGGTCAAGATCAAAATACCAAACGTTAATGTTACACCAAATAATGAAAAATCTTCAACTTGTTTCTTTATCGTCACAGCTATGGTTGCTAGAAGGCCTGAAGATGCAACCGCCTTACCTAAAGCAGTCCCACCCATCGCTAATACAACTATATTCCATGGGTAATTATTAAAATCTTCGGTTGTTAATAATCCAGGTCCAAAGAACAATATTAATGGAATTAAGGCTATTATCCCCATCTCACCGAATATGCCTTCCAATTTTGATGCAATACACCATAAAAATATAGTAAACATCGTAACACCTATGATGTACCATTGAATACCAGTGAATTTATCATCAATAGTTCTGATACTCACCAATTGCGTATTCTTTGAATTACAATTAAATGTAAGTAATAAAAATACCCACACGGCGAAAAGGGAAATAATACATATTGGTAATGCAATAACGAACCATTGTCCCCATGATGGCTGAGGCTCCATTGAGCCAATTGCAATCATATTTTGAGGGGAAGCAATTGGTGAAGCCATTCCACCAATATTTGAAGCTAATGCAATTCCCAAAATCAATGCATTTATAAATTGAGATCCTTTAGGTAACGTACGTAAAATAGGTTGAATTAACGAGAAACATAACACAGGAGCTGCAACGTTAGATACCCACATTGATGCAAATAAGGCAACACCCATAATTGTCAATAAAACAACAGACGGGTTCGTACCAGCCTTTGATAAAATCCAGGTCGAAATTACTTTGGCGATATGATATTTTGATAAGGCTGCTGCTAAAGTAAAACCCCCTAATAATAATAAGATAACTGAGTTCCACATTGTCGACAAAATAAATTTAGATGAAGATACTGAATCCATTAATGAACCATCATCGTTCTTCAATACTTGCAATACCACAATTAAGATAGGTATTAAAAGTGATGTTACAAACAAAGGAATAGTTTCAGTTGCCCAGAGTAACGAAGCACATATCAATAATGCAAAACAATTCTTCTGTTGTGAGTCATCAAATGGAGAAAAATTCAATAAAACCAAAGTTATTGATACGATTAGTATCAATTTTGCAATCATAGGATTCTTGAACGAAATATTAAAACTAGATGATATATGACCAGTAGACTTCTCATTTTTAGTATTTTCAGAATTTGATACTTTCGAGTTAGCAGCATATGTCTTTCTTTCTAAACCAATCATGTCTCTCCAGATAGTATTTCTTTCCCAAATAACATGCTCTCTTAAGTGAATTGATAACTCTGATTTGGCAGCCTCTAAATCATTTCCATGATTACATATCAATGCATATAACTTAATTAACGAATTAATGTTATCCTCGACTTTTGCAATAGTAGTGTCTTGGAATATATATGTTCTTTGAGGCAAATCATTTAAGTAACCATCCTTTAAATTGGTGTTTAAGGATTTGTCAAATTTCTTTAATGCTTTCTTAAACCCTGTTTGATTCAATTCTATATAAGACTTCAATTCGGATAAAGTTGTAAATAATCCAATAATTCTTTTCCTTAAAATAACCCTATTTTCAGAAAGGATGAGTAATTGAGGTGGTAAATTGGAGGTATAATTGTTCAAATTATTCCAAACGTCTGGAGTCTTTGGTGATTTCAAATAATGATCAATGGATTTTGTATGCTTTAACGGTCCATTCTTCAGACGGCCTCTTTCTTCTTCTGATTCCTCGTCGTCATTTTCATCTTCCTCCTGAGCTTCACGATCAGTATCGGTCTGGTAATGCTCAAATGAGGTGTCCGAAGGCGCAACACCTCCACCTCCACCCCCGCTACCATTCAGCTTCTTCCGATTTAGCGAAAAGCTTCCAAAGGCCCCAGGCTTGCTAAAATTAACTCCATCAAGTTCTGCTTCGAAGTTTTCAATATCAACGATTAATTCCTCGATACCTTTAAAAATAAATGACTCTTGGACCTGATAAAAGTCATCCACCTTCGTCAATTCTGCATCTAGAGCTGCTAAAAATACCGTGGAAGGATCCTGGTCTGCACGGCTTTCGTTGGTAATAAGATGAGCTGACTCCAAGTCGCTCCTTTCAGGTTTTAAACTATCTCTTTGAAGCGAGTAGATTAACTTCTTTAAGGTCGTATATGCTATATACTTTGAAGACCATTCTGGAACAGCGTTGAACTGTAATGAATGTGAAAACTTCATTGTATCTGATGTTTGTCCTTATCTATTCGTAAGATTATGGACAATTCCAATCAGTTTCGTAGGGCATGTCGAAATCTGGTTCTTGCACGTCTTATCTTTTTTTTTGGTGCAAAGATTGGGTTGAGTGTAATCATATCATATCCAAGAAAGACCATATGATTTGATAATAGAGCATTGGCATCAAGGGTATGGTGCAACATAGTTGGGTAGCTTCTCGTATATACTGGTTACCTTTCAAAGCAATATAATTCGTCAGCTTGTATAATTCTCTAGAACAACATAATTGCAAATGCAACTATTCAATTATTAAATAAGCAGAAACTTTATGGAATCTACATTTTCAATCCACACTATTTCTTTACTTTTGTTACTAGTGGTGTTCTAATGTCACTATAAAATTCAATATAGGAGAACATCCCGCTGTATAAAAGGCCGAAGAAATAAGCGATTGCTTTAAAATCGCAAGCAATCAATGTAATTTGGGCAAGACAATAAGTAGAAGATCGATGTTTCTTCACTAAATCATTGTTTCAACCCGTATTAAACTTTTATTTGCCGTTGACGTAAATCTTGGAGGCGTGGCTTTTTGTGTTTAGCGAACTTTGCGGGGGAATTCGGAAAGCGAGATAAAAATCGATATTAATAAGATATACTCGAAAACAACTTTCATTTTATGTCTTTATTAGAGCAGTTGCGTTGTTTGATAGTTAATAAGGATATAGCAGTTGCACCGATACCAGTAGGAAATAGAAATACTGATTTTGTGAGAAATTTCATATTTTCTAGGACGTCAGAGCAACAAAGAAATTTGATCATCAGTGGAATTTTAGTTGGCTTAAGTTTTTATATTTTATTGCCATCCATTAGCATTCCATTTTTACCAGATAATAAACAAAAAATGTTTAGCAAAAGACCGGATAAGTATACTACTGGATTGATCAATCTAAGAAATGATTGTTTTGCCAACTCGTCGTTACAGGCGTATCTGGCATTACCGAAGCTAACCGAGTATTTAAATGAATTCATTACTGCTTTCCATCAACTCAAAAAGCTTATGGAAGCGAATGGGATTAATTCAGAACTCCAAATTAACTCACATGACGAGTCGAAAGGAAGCTCCAAATTCAAGGCAAATAATTCCAAGTTTGAAATACCGTTACATTATGCGTTAAGCAAAATGATGAAGAGCTTACAGGAGACTAGAATGTCATCCAGAACTATTTCAGTTTGGACATTCCTTCATGCTTTAGAGAATATATTCAATGCCAAGATTTCCAAATCACAACACGATGCACAGGAGTTAACTCAGTTGATCAACGAGACATTAGAGAATGAAAATGTCAAGATTTTAAAGAAATTGAAGCAGCTAAGAAGACAAATTTCAAACAACTCAAGCTTACTTAACGAATTAGACGCAATCCAATTGCCAGAATTCCCATTTAGTGGATTAATTTTGTCTCAAATGAAATGTCTCTCTTGTTCTTTTGTTTCGAAGCCAAATTTTTCCCCGTTTTTAATGTTGACTTTGAATGCTCCACAGAAGACTGCAACTGAATTGGAGACTATTATAGATGAAAACGAATCAGAATCTATTGAAGGCTATCAATGTTTGAAATGTCGCTTGATTAAGATTACAGAAAATGAAAATCATTTGAAGGAAATTGCGAAATCAAATAATAACGAGGAGGAAGAGAAGATTCTTAATACATTGTTTGATTTAAATAACGACGAGAAGTTGTGTATAAACGATGATCTTTCACCCGAATTAGAAGAATATATTAAATCATATAACAAGTATGGTTTAGATATTTCGAAGGTCACATCAACTGTATTTAGAAGACAGCAAATTTTAAAGCCCCCAAAGGTTTTTGGAATTCATTTATCTAGATCTAGCTTTAACGGAGTTGACGTAACTAGAAACCCATGTCGTGTTTCCTTTAAAGACCATTTGACTTTATCTATTGGTAAAGATTACCATGAGGAATTGAAACAATTTCAAAGTGCAGCCAATGAAGAATCAATATCGGAAGACGCGAACTTTAGCTCCAACGTTTTGACAAATGATATTGATGACATGGAAGACGAAGAATACCAAAGAGAAGATATTGATGAAAATGGCAACGAGGATGAAGAAAATGAGGAAACCTCTACGACTGATAACGGGGACAATACCACTTCTGATAATGAATTTGATGATGATGATGATTCAGATAACTCATCATTGACTTCAAATGAGACTTCGCATACGACTCCAACTATCAGAGGGAGTACAAAGTACAAACAATCTGATGCTGCATCAAGCTCAACCACATTGAGAACTCCGGAAACTTTGAATAATGCTCCTATTACTGAGGACCAAACAGATAAATTAAGAAAACATTTTAGAAGTTTTAAGTTTAATGACAATGACATTTACAAATATAAATTGAGAGCTCTTATTAAACATCAAGGATCACATAGTCAAGGCCATTATGAATGTTATAAAAGAAAACCATTGTATGTCAAGGATAAAGATGGTGTGATCTTTAAGTTATCTCCAGAAATAATGGATGATATTACTGGTGATATTACATGTGATGTCGCAGGAATATCAGCGCCTGATCCCACATTCAGAGATGAGGAACGCAATGCCTCATTAAATAATGTTAAGGAAGATAGTTCAAGTGAAACTGGTACTAGAAGAAAGAAGTTTTCTTTTTCTTTTAGCAATAATAGACGCGGTTCTGTGGCTTCCTCAGCATCCGACAATGCTGACCCAACTAGCAAAAGTTCTGATGAAACCCCTAACTTGAAAAACATCAATGAAGATGATTTTGAAGATTCTGGATCAGGTTTTCGTCGTAAGCTTTCAACGATGATGGGACGTCGACCATCAGTTTTCCAGGCTGATCCATCAAATGCTAATATCCAAGAAATTATTCATTCAGGTTTGAACACACCTGCTGAGTTATTGGTTGATGGACCAGAAGTGGATTATTTCTCTTCTTTTGGTGGAGGACCTCAAAAAACAATTCCTGAGGTGAAGGAGCAAAAGAAGGTAAAGATGAGAAAGATTCCATCGTTAATAAAGCATCCTTTTTGGAGAATAAGTGATTCCCAAATTACCGAAGTTTCAAGATCAACAGTTTTATGGGAAAATGCAAGTGTCTATATGCTTTATTATGAGAGAGTTGATAGAGGCCAAATTAAGGGTGATAAATAGTTACCCACTTTTTTACATATTTTACATAGTTGTTTTATAGATCTCAGAATAAATTGGCCCTTTTTTCGATGGTTCTCAATTTCAAATGTTTCTCAATTTCACAAAATACAATTCACTACTAGTAATTTAGATGAAGGTGTATACAGCTTTTGATATGATATAAGAAAATGAACAATAATCGTCTACTGAATAATAGATCATCCTCTAATTCGTTATTTCCACCGCCGAATTCGGCTCAAAGAGTTTCAAATAATCTTCCAGCTGGCCAAAGGCAGAAAGTAACATTAAAGCCAGGCCATTCACCACTAGATTGGGCACATCTTAATTCTAACACACCATTTCACATCTTAAGGGGTGTGTCACAACAAACACCACCTCCACAGTATGTTAGGATAACCAAGGATGAGTTACAAACACATAAAACAAAAGAAGATTGTTGGACTTGCATAAATGGGAAGGTGTTTAATATTACTCCTTATATAGATTTTCATCCTGGAGGTGTTAATGAAATTATGAAATGTGCTGGAAGGGATGGCACAGCATTATTTAACAAATATCACAGTTGGGTTAATGCTGATAGAATGTTAGAAAAGTGTCTTATAGGAATGCTAGTTAATAACTAACTACAACGTGTGCAAAGAGACATGCATATTAAGAGCTTAAAACCTCCTTTATACTTACTTATGTAATGTATTATAACTACTATTTATTTTTTCAATGTCCAAGTTCCGATACAACGTCACTTATTTATTTCAACTCTATGATTCAATGAATAACTCCAACATTACCTATTACTAAACAATTCATGTTCCAGTCATGTTCCTCTTTTGGTATCTCATCGACTAGTTGCTCTTCTAATCCGATTCCTATTAAATAAGGACATTTGTTAAACTTCTTGCGATATACATTCAAAAACTCGTCGTAAAAACCAGCTCCATGCCCAAGTCTTTTTTTCAGTTTTGTAAACGCTACTGCTGGAACTATAATCACATCAAGATCACCAGTTTCCATTATGTCCTTTCCACGAGTTGGCTCAAGCAAATTATATTTACCTTGTGGTTCTAATTGTAAGACATTTTCAAAACTTGAAATTTCAAGCATGGACAAGTAATTACGTTTTCTTCCGTCTAATGGCTCAACATTACATTTTGGTAAATATAAAGATTTTTTCATATCAAAGCAATACCTTATAATATCCATAGTTTGGGCTTCCAGGTTGGGCATATTCATGTAAACCGCTATCTTTTTAGCATCTTTGAATTGTGGAACTTGAAATAATGAATTTGAAATACCAATTGACTGCAGATTAATCGAATCGGCAGTTAATTCACCTAATTTCTTTTTTAGTGCTGTACGGAGTTGTTTTTTGGCATTCTTAACAAGTGTTTCTTTAGACATATTATATTCTTGATGTTAGGCACTTTTCTTATACTTTTAGTGTACGCTCACTTAAATTGTGTCATTCAATATAAAGATAAAAAATTATGTACTATGTACGAAAAACGGGCTAAAATAATTAGATTTGCAATAACCTATTGTATGCAATGCTATTCGCTTACGGCTATAACCTTTTCATCAAATCTAACAGATTTTCTTCTTTCGCCGTCATGATGACTAGGAATTTCTAATTCAATCTCTTCGTCACCAATTTCCTTTTTGGTGTCGATTAACATTTCTCTTATTCCTTTGCTCTCCTTAGCAGCTGGTGTAGAACTTGATTTTCTTCTCTGCTGACATTTCAAATCGTCTTTACATTTCTGACATCCACACTTGAATCCCCAATTGACTCGCAATTCCCTTTGCCTCTGTTGAACTGTATACGCTGGATTCACGTAGGTTGTAGTTAATTCTTCGCCAGCTCTTATATCCCTAGCAGCAAATACTTTTAACCCATCAGTCCTTACCGTAGTAGAAGTTTCAACACTAGTGTTTGGATCACAATTATGATTTAAATGGGACTGAGTGAGATAGATACATGAATCTAAATTATTGATATTATACGTACCCATCATGTACATGAATTCTTGATAAGTAATGTCTCCACTCTCTTCTGATTTAGGAAAGACATTTCTAAACATAGTATAACCTTCTTTCCATAACCTTTCTTGTTGTTCCTCAACAAACAAAGCCCCACCTTGCAAATTGTCGAATGCACCAGCTGAAGAATTTAAAGCCTTATACCTGACATCTTGAGATACCCTTGCCATCGCTTTAAATTGTTTTCCTTTTATGCCCGACTTGTCAGTAATGATGTTAGCATATATGATTGTGATTGCATACAATGCATTCCATTGTTCTTTTAAACAATAATCTTGCAACTCTAAAAATGCATTGGCATTTATCAATTTTTTCGAACCTCCACTTGGCTTTGGATTATATAGATTATGCTTCAACATTCCATGCAATTGAAAATCAATCTTCTTACAAGTTTGAGAACACCAATTCTCAGAACAAACATTACAATCTAATCCTTTCAAAACAGATATACCAGCATTACTGCTGGATTGTGTAAGCAATTTTCCACAGTAAGAACAAGCTTTTCCACCTTTTATAAGGTTCACATTTGCCAACGGAGGAATATAAAATAACTGGGTTTCTTCCCATATTAAATCTCCTTTCGCAATTTTATTCTTTGCGTACAACCCTTTACCTCTCTTAGCTGTCATTACAATGTGTACTTTTTCTGGTAGGTCAATATCAGGCGTGTCCAGTGACTTAATTTCGTTAACGTACGTAAATTGTTGGTTGGAGGCGTTGTTAGTCAATAAACCAAAACTTTTCAACAACGTTTTTACTCTCTTTTCAGATACAGACCAATTCTGGTGACGATCTTTTACCAAAGCATGCAATTTACTTATTCCCAACGTTTCAGTAGAAGGATCTTGCTTCCAAATTGCAATAACATCATCAACAATTTGCCTCTCATGGGGAACAATAGGTTCTTTTGACTCAGCTTTGTAGTCGTTGATGTCCACAACTTCTAACTTATTTGCTAAAGAAGCATTAGCATTAGATTCATTTTTCATTATATATTCGCTGTAATTGATTCCGTTTGATGATAAATGAAAATTTATTTCGATAAAGTAGCTCGAAGATCTCGAATCTGCAAGGCTCGCGCGATAAAAAAAAATGAAGG